AAATTTACAAAGCATTGTCTTAGATATTTTTTTTAACATCCTTTTGTCTCTAATATCTATTTATTTATTTATTTATTTAAAAATTGTTGGGCCCACTTAGCCCATTTAGCGGGCGGGCCAGGACCGTTTAGCCCGGGACTAAACGGTCCTGGTCCCGGTCCCGGGCCTGTCCCTACAAAAAGACCACTTAGCCTGGGACCATTTAGCCCGTTTAATTTGGGACCGGTCCGGGACCGGGACCGTTTGGATCGGCCCACTTGGCCGGTTTAGGCCCGAGACCGGCCCACTTGCCACCCTTAGTTAAAGTACACAAATAGTCCTCAAAGTAGATGGTCTTGAATTTTTGTTTTCGCTTGCTCAATGAACAGAACTTTAGGTTTAATTAGTATTACCCCTCGATTGGCTCATGAGCAATACTTTTAACTCTTGACCTTAAAGTTAGCGGAGACCAAAAGTTAAAAAACCACCCTAAAAAATGTTTCTTCTTCTTCTTCTTCTTTTTTGTGCAAAATAACCATCTCGATAACTTTTGGTTTTAATAACCAAAAAATTTCAATGTATTGTCTTTGCATGACCATTTAGAAGTATTGTGTTTGCATTAGAATTACAGCTTGTTGTACATACGCAAGTGGTGGGTTAGAATTAGAAACACTCACTAATACTTACATTATGGTAGGTTTTCTACCTCACATTTCTTGGGGTGCGACCCTTACTCAGATTCTACGTGAATGCCGAAATGTATTTTGCACCAAATTGCCCTTTTTATATTTATGTCTCACATAAAAAATACTACAGAAAAGCTACATCCGTCGCTAAGTACGGGTCCTTCAATATTACTAATCATTTGCTTTCAATAACTTCATTTATTCTTTCCTTTCACATCAAGAATTGTAAAAAAGAAGAAGAGGATACTACAATGATGTTAACCTATGGACATTCTAAAGGGAAAAAAAGCAAGTGAATATTGAGAGTTCTAGCTCCATATATCTCTTTTTTACTATGTGTTTGGAATGACATAAAATGTTTCTCCAAAAATTAAGTACAATAATATTTTGTTGTTTGAAGGGAACTTTGAACCAACGATAAAATTATCTCCCGAATGACTTATAGATCACGAGTTCGAAATGTGAAAACAGTCACTATACGACCTTTCATCCGGTCCTACGTGAACGTGGAATGCCTTATGTACCGGGCTGCCTTTAAATTAATATTTTGCTGTTTAATTGACAAAAGAAATTTTTCTCACAAGATGATAAATGACTTTTTGGAAGGAAAATCATTTTTTCCGCGGTTATCTCAACTCTTAACTTCAGATTATCACTAATTAATCAACCCTGAATATTTATTATCAAACTACTCAAAAGTGTCGTCAAAACGTTATCCAATTTGCTAAACAATTATTAACAATCTCTACTACACGTTTTTCTCCAGAAATATTTCCCATTCCCCAAATACCGGGAAATGTTCTTCTCAAACACATTTGGATCCTTTGCTCCTTACTTAAAAAAGCTAAATATCAGATAAAATGAATGCTCCTTAATCCTTTACCGGACAAATTCAAAAATAGCCAAATTTACAAATAGTAATTGTAAAATAGTCACAATTTCAAAAGTAATCGAAATTTAGTCACTTTTTATGTAAATATAAATCTGAACGAAAACACTGTTCAAAATCCGAAAAATATTCTAGCATAATATATTGGAGTTCCGTATATTATACTGGAACTCCAGCATATTATACTGGAAGTTCATACACGGGTGCTCCAATCTCCAGTATATTATGCTGGAACTTTCCGCGTGTTGGAGTTCCAACATAATATGCTGAAAGTTCATACACAGGTGCACAAATCTCCAGTATATTATGCTGGAACTTTCCGCGTGTTGGAGTTCCAACATAATATGCTGAAAGTTCATACACAGGTGCACAAATCTCCAGTATATTATGCTAGACCGGTCCGTGTTGCAGCAAAATAGTAGCTATTTTTTAATGACTTTACAAATGTTGGCTATTTTTGAATTACCGGTCCGAAAACTGGCTAGCCCATGATATTTTTACACAAAAAAGGTTAACTCTAGAAATACAAAAAATAATTACTAACGTCACAGGAAAAAAAGTGCAGCCAAAGTGTTCAAACTCGACATTTACGATACTTAAAGTAAAGGAAAATGTAGAGAAAGGAACTAAAAGGAGAATAGCATTACATTTGAGCAAAGAATATACCAAATAGAATGCATATCTTTATGTCCAAAATCCGGTTTTGGCCCTGCCACATTATGGATTTACAAACTAAAAGATAAAAAATAATAATAATTAAAAAAAAAGTAATCCCATGAGATTCACGAGTCACACAATTTGTACATTGATACTTGTCAACCGATAAATTTTCATTTTTGTATGGTTCTTGTCAATAGACATAATATAAAAATCTTTGTATTTTTCAACTCTTACTGGAAACGACTTTCTCGAATTCCACCGGTGCAAGATTAAATTAATGTAATCTTGTAAGTTGCAATCATAAAGGAGAATATTTTATCAGACGAGTAGAGTAATTAGATCACCGTGTATCGTGGGAAAATAATAGTGTATACGCAGACCTTACCCTTACTTTGGAAGGTAGAGAGATTGTTTTGTAAACTCTCGACTCAAAGAAAGATGAAAAAAGAACGGTAGCAACAAGTAAGGCTGTGCATAATTTGGTAAATACCGAATTACCATACCGAAATCAAAAATTTTGGTATTTGGTATGGTATTTAGTTTACATTTTAAAAAATATTTGGTATTTTTTTAAAAAAATACTTAAATACCTATATCGTACCGAAATATATATTGGATTAATTTTAAATATCATGTCATCCTTGATGTTTCTAGTTTCATGTTCTTTTGTTAAAGCATGTGCACCACCTATTTTTGTCTATGTGATTAATGGATGTTACTCGAATGGTTTCTGTAAACAACACTTGTGAAAAAGTTATTTTGGTCACAATTTGAGAAGCTTACGGGTGTCTCTTGCATTATGGAGATGTTGATGAATTTTGTAAACGTTATTCTAATCTTATGCTCCTGTTTATATAAGTCCCATATATGATGTGTAGTGGTGTTGCATTCATAAGATTGATTTTGCTGGCTAGTTATAATTTTAAATTTGCTGGCTAGTTAAGATGTTATTCTCTCCTAAATATAACATTTAGAAACTGCTTTAGAACCGAACAAACTAAAGTTACCGTACCAAATAAACTGAAACTGAAAGACGAAAAATCGAAACATACCGAATTTAATTAGGTACGATATTGGTATAACTGAATACCGAAAATCAAAATATCTAAATATAGTACCGTACCGACCGACGAACACTCCTAGCAACATGCTGTAACACCAACTATCAAGTTATAAAAACATCGAAATGAAATCAGTAACAAGTTATTATTCTAAGACAATAAGATGAAAATGCAAGAAAGACTTATGATTCAAGCACGACAAAGAATAAAAGAATTTCTATAGGAGTAGCAATTCTAGTGTACTATAAAGTCAAGAGGCAAAAGAGAGATGCTTTGGTTATAGCAGCAAGAAGGGAACAAATGACTAGAGGTCTTGCTTCAAAGAGATAGGAGATTACCCTTGAGTTTTGCATGACAAAAGTGTAAAGAAAATGAACAGGACCTAACTCATCCCCAACAAGTAGCTCGTGATGCGAGGATTGTCGGATACAAGACCTCACAGCTTCAACCAATATAGAACACTTGACAATGTTGAAGATAAAATTAAGAAAATAGAAAGTATACCATCACGATTGTCATGTGATCAGGAGGCGAGTTTGAGCCGTGGAAACAGCCTCTTGCAGAAATGCAGGGTACGACTGCGTATATATGAAAAGACCCTTGTGGTAACGCCCTTCCCCGAACTCCGCGCATAGCGAAAGCTTAGTGCACCGGATTACCTTTTTTTTTTTTACCGATTTTGAAATGGTCAGCCAAGAATTTGGATGAAATGAAGACCATCACGATTGTCGAAGACAACTCCTCATATCTTCAACCAATGTAGAACACTTAACAATGTTGGAAGATAAAATTAAATAAATAGAAAGAATACCATCTTTGGCGACTTAAACATTTAGATAAGATTGTCACATAATTCAATATGATATAATAGCAAGCAGACGTCCCAGATTCAAGTCTCACCGCCACCCATTATCACAAAGAATTTTCACGTGATAAAGCGTGTGTTTAAGCCATAAGTAAACTAAAATGTACGCTCTTTAACAACTTTTAGATAAATAGCCACACAGTGTCACAAAAAAGAAGTCATGCAAGCTTTTCGTCTGCACGAGGAATCTTTCAGTGAAAAACTATAAGGCATTCTGATAATTTTCATTGTATTCAACGTACTTTTTTGCTTTTCTTCGCCAAAAGTTAATTAGACGACAAGTATTTTCGTGATTTTGTCCAACGCCTATTATCGGATTTAACTTATATACAATGACTATATGTATAAAGTTATATTATCATTTCACCTAAAATCTATTGTAAGAGGTACCCGACAATATATGAAAATTTTACATAATCATGTCTTCAAACCCGTGGTAAGAGATCACCTGTTTTACTTTCATATCACCAATTTCACCTAGAGTTTTAATTTATGTGCACGGACGGCATAAGACTTTTTTCCTACCCCATCAAGGTCAAAGTGACATACAACATGTAACGGACTATAAAAACACTTAAAGTATTTATCAACTTAGAAATAAAGTAATCATTTGTAATAATAGATAGTGTTAAAATCTGGTATATGAGATAAATTCAGCTCACTTATTATGAACAGTTATTAGCAGACGCGGACCTATGCAATAGGTGAGGGGTCAAGCAAAAATTTCATGTATACATGTATATATTTTTAGAAAATAGTGATATATTAATAATGGTTTACCCTAATACAAAACAAATTTTGGTTGAATCAAAAAGTATATCTACGACCTTCAAATCTTGAGTCCGCCTCTAACTATTAGTAACTATTTTTTAGGTGATATGATAGAATAAAAGTTATTTTACACCACCATGAGTGTAGAAACATTAGATTCTTTAATACTTTGGGTATTAGAAAGGCATTACACATGCACAAGTAGAGGTTTGTGAACAAATATTTCTCAAGAATATGCCCCTCCTAGCAGTATAAATTAAAGCCATTGGTGACTGGTGAGTGGCATCAAACATAATCTGCAGTTATAACAAGTAGTGAGAATGGAGCCTTTAGGTGGGCTGAGCAAAAGAGGAAAACAAGAAATTCAACCACAGATTTCGGTACTAGGAATGGAATTGGGACGACCTTCCGATGAGGAAGAAAAGGAGAAAAAAAGAATTAAAGATCAATTATTTCAAGCCTGCATGGAGAATAGGTGGACAGGAGTTAAGCAACTGTACATCAACGACAAGTTTGCCCAAGAATCCAAACTCACTAAATCTGAAGATACTGTTCTTCACTTAGCTATCTCTTCTTACCAGCCACATCGAGATGACTCTTTACAGAAAACTCATCTTGATTGTATTAAGGATATGGTAAATAAAATACCAAAGGAAAATCGATTGTGTATCTTAAAACAAAAGAACGAAAAAGGAAACACACCTCTTCACCTTGCAGCAGAACTCGGAAGTGTCTCCATAATTGCGTGTTTGGTAAACCCACAAGAACCTGAACTCATCTGGGAGATCAATTCAAAAGGGGAAACCCCTTTATTCGTTGCTGCTTATCGTGGCAGGCTAGATGCTTTTCTCTACCTAGATGAGTGTTGTCAAAATGAAAAGAGCAGAAAAGATCCAATTGTACTTTGCAGGAGGGGAGATGGGGATAACATTCTACATGCAGCCATCTCTGGCGAGTACTTTAGTAAGAGCCAAATCCCCTTTTCTTATTAATTATCAAACATTTTGTTACATAAATTTCTATACAATGTCTTCTTTCTTGTGGGTTAGTGACATTAACAACTTAATTTTCTTGTAACAGAGTTGGCTTTTCAGATAATAAATCGCTATGGGCTACTTGTCAACCGTTTAAACTCAGAGGGCATGTCTCCTCTACACTTTCTATCTAGGATGCCTCAAGTATTCAAAAGTGGAAGCCATTTTCGGTACATAGATAGCATTATCTACTACTGTAAGTCTCTATAGTCTTTTTGGTCAAAAAGTGGCATAGATAAGCCCTTTACAACGATTTAAATACACCGACACATATCGGGGTTCTTTTTGTCCAGGCATAACTGTCGAAGAGCTAAAGATAGAGAAATATAAAACTGAAGGCATAGAAGACACATATCGTAGACTCCCAGATAACTGGAAACTCCCAGATAACTACCAAACACTGGTGGAGTTCTTGGAACTACTTTGGAATGGAACTGCAAATGTTCTTGGTGGGTAGATTTACCGCACATGATCAATGTCTTATTTAATCTATATCGTACATTATACTTGTACAAAAATTGTTAGGGAGGAAATGCCAAACAATCAAAACGAGAATGGCTCACTTGCTTTTGGGGTTTACGGAAAGCACTAAACCAATCTCCTTTTGAAAATGCACTAACAAAGTGTTTGAGAGACTGTTGTTGGCACTTTCTACCTAAGAATTTTACATTACCAAGACTGATTCTCTTCTCTATCTAGATTACATTAAGGAAATATGTAGCGGGAAGCAAGCAAACAAGTCTAAAGGTAAGTGATTACATAGAAACATCTTAACTCATTCATGTTGACTTAAATAATTGACCAATCACTTTTTGAAAATGAACTAACCAAATGGTTCAAGCGCCTCAGGAGAGTCCTGTTGGCATTCTGTACCTAAGAATTTTACATGGTCAGAGACTAATTCTCATTTCTATCCAGCTCTTACTGAAGAAACTAAAGTGAAGCGAGATAAGAAGTCTCCAGGTATGTGACTATGTAATAAACTTTTCAGGTTGTATGGACTTAACCAGGTTATTTAAGTGGCCATAAGGCCGAAACTATGATATATAATATTTTTTCATGAGGAAAACTCTTACTAGTGCTAACTTATTTTTCTTTTTTCTTCGCACCAAGGCAATCAAGATGATCCTGAGAATCCCCCAATTCCAGGTGAAGGCATACACATGTATACACTGCAGTTGAAACTAAATGGTACCTCCAACTATGATAACTAAATATAAAGGGCAGCCCGGTGCACTACGCTCCCGTTAAGCGCGGGGTTCGGAGAAGGGCCGGACCACAAGGGTCTATTGTACACAGTCTTACCCTACATTTGTGCAAGATGTTGTTTCCACGGCTCGAACCTGTGACCTCCTGGTCACATGGCAGCAACTTTACCAGTTACGCCAAGGCTCCCCTTCTATGATAACTAAATATAAATCATCAAAATATGTACACAAATAATCAAGAAGAAAAGGTGCATCTGATTAAGCAGGAACCTTCCAGTTTATTAACTCATTATATCAATATTAAGAAGTAGACCAATCTCTTTTGAGCATCTCATCAGGAGTACGTTGTTGCCACTTTGTACCTAAGAATTTTACACATTCAAACACTGATTCTCTTTTCTATTCCAGCAACTACTGGAGTAACCAATGTGAATCAAGACAAGAAGTCTAGAGGTATGTGATTACGTATAAACCTTTCAGGTTACGTCGACTTAACCAGGTGTTTGTCAAACAAATTGAGGAGCCGGAGTAAATCCACCAAGAATTAAAATGAACATCTATTGGAAGAATAAAAAATCTATTACTAAATGGATTACTAGATTAGTAGCACACTAATTAAAACAAGAAGAGTGTATATATGTATGTATGTGTGTGTGTGTGTTACTTCTTGAGCCTCTTCATATGGTTACACCAATAATTCTTTACATGCCATTTTTCAAAACATATCCCCTTCAACTTTTCTTTTGGGAAAGGCTTTTCGTTGCTTATTCTGTTTTAGAGTATTCTTTAGCTTCCAATAATTGAAATCAAAGCATTGAGCTAACTTATTTCCAATTTATGTGAACATTTTCTAGGTGAAGAGCAATGATAAAAAAAATCAAGAAATTCTCCAACATATTTGTGCTAATAACTAATCTCTGGAATTTCAGCTCAAGGGAAGAGAAATGGCAACTTATTTCCAGCCAACTACACCACCTTTATCAATTTCGTCAAATTACTAATGAAGATTTTGCTAATTGTAATGGGTATTGGTAAGATTTTCTTAAAACATTTCTCTTCAATCATGCATACATTTCTTAACTATTGAGTGCAGATTACAGTTGCAGATTAGAACATAAACTTCAATGAGAAAGTAAGAAAGAAA